CCCCCCCCCCCCCCCCCCCCCCCGCGCGCTCGGGCGCCCCCGCTGATCAGAAAAAGTTTTGGCGCATTTGGTCCCGCGATTTGACTGATGTCTTTCCATTCGTCGGCTGGTTGGCGTGGTCGGTGCTATTTATAGAAGCACAAACACAAACTCGGACACATTGACGTGTTTCCTTCCATTGGTCAGCCCGCCAGTTGGCGCAATCGATGCTAATGAAAGAATCACACACGCACGAGCGCTCGCGCGCCACTGCCTGAATAAAAGGTATCTGAAACGGAGAGAAAGAGAGCGACACCAATCCCAGACACCTGGTTGGGATACCTGAGAAAACCACGCCGAGGGTGATGTGCAAGCAATAGAACATGTAAATGTGCCACCTTCTTGTTCTTGGTCCCGGGCGGTCTGCCCTGATTTACTAATTTTTCTCAGCGTTGGTGGCGCGGGGGGAAACACCTCGACCCGATGGGGACCGCCTTTGAAATATAGAGGGGGGGTTTCGTATCCCTATCCCTATCCCTATCCCTATTCCCCACCCTATACCCCCTACTAAAACCAAGACTAATATCCTCGCGAGGGCTACCATATACTGCCCGAAGGGGGGGCGTTATCCTGCGTCATTAGTATTGACACTCTGTCGTTGCGTCACACACGTGGGTGCAGATAGATCGCCCTATCCGAAACGCTACAACTGCTGTAGTGATCTCACACAACAATGGTTCGATTCGATTCGATTCGATCACTCCATACTAAATACTACCATATGTAGTGATGATACGTCTGGATTTTGTTACGTGATATACACCGTCGACCCTATTGCACCTCGCTCAGGCCGGGACGACCTCCACGGCGGTGGTTGCCAAGAGGAGGGGCAGGGGTCTCCACTCGCGCAGGTCTTCGGGCGCTAACTCTCTGAGCCCCGCGAGGTTCAAAAGGCTTGAGGCTCACGGTGGACTTGGAGGGGACGGAGGCGAGGGGGGTACGCAGAGGGGAAGGAGTAGGGTGGCCACCACCACCGCTGCTACTACTCACGGAAGGAAGGCTACCGTCGGGGTGCGTTTGTTTGTTTGTTTGTTTTTCTCGCTGTGTTTGCTTGTTATCTCGCTGTGCGTGCGATCGTCGTGGTGGTTGTTTAGTAAGTAGGTGTTGGTGCCGGTGCGTGAGCGTGGTTGATCTTCGCGTTCGGCCATCTGGAGGAGCGCCACCTGCATGCTTCTTGAAAAAGAACACCACGTGCATGTATCGCTGCGTGTGTTAATCGGGCTGGGCTGGGTTGGCTTTTTTTTTCTTCGTGTTCGCGACCTGGAGTGGAACGACTACTGCCGTATGTTCCAACGATGGTCATAATTCAGATTCGGATGATTTACCGTTTTATTTCCACTGCAGTCTCGTTTCTCGTTACTACTATGTCCGGGCGGAGGTGCTGCAAGATGTGCCACTGGCGAACCTGCCGTGATGCACGTTGCGGCTCGGATACCGCAACCTGATCCAATTTTTTTACAGCCCTCAATTCGAACCACGAACAAGACTTGAGGGTTTTACTTATTAAGGACGGTGTTCTTGGAGGGGGGGTGGGGGGGGTAGGATATGGGGAGTTTATTTGTGGATGGGAATTGCCGAGTCGTGTGATCTTTCTTCCAACCCTACCTTGGTTTCAACACGCTTGGGTGGTTACCCTTCATATTCCTCTCTCTCTCTCTCTCGCTGTCTCGCTCTCCCCCCCCCCCCCCCCTCTCTCTCCTTGGTTGTCTCTAACATCTCATCTGTCCGCCCTACCCCTGTCTCGACCATTGTGCTGTAGGGCGACATCGTGCCCGCCACCCCGCGCTCCAAGTCCCAGATACCGCGGGTCTCCCTGCAGGAACGCCTGCTTGCCGCTCTCGAAAGCGCCGAGCTGCCGCAGATCCAGAGGCGAGGAAGAGGAGGGAAGTCGTCGTCTTCCTCCTCCAAATCGAAGCCTTCCACCTCCTCCGCGGCGGACAAGAGCCGGCCTCAGCTTCAGGAACAGCAGCAGCAGCAGCAGCAGCAGCAGCAGCAGCAGCAGAAGACCCAGGCCGTGTTGTCGCCCACCCGTTGCTCCCACCTCTCCAAGCCTTTCGGGGACGTCGGCCGCGGCGGTCATGCGATGGGGGGGGTAGGGGTAAAGGTCACTACGGTGGCCGAGCCCAGCAGCCCCGGGAAGTGCGGCCACGAGGGGGGGGGTTACCTGTCAAACGAGGTAGTCAGGGGCGACGTGCGGAGGGCAATCCTGGCGGACGTGCAGCTCCGCACCGAGGTCCGGAAGGCGCTCCTTGAACAGGCGAGCGGCGGCGGCGGCGGCGGCGGCGGCGGCGGGGGTGGACAGGCGTTAAAAGCCAGCGGTTAGGGGGGGGGGGGAAGGGACACCCATTATGAAAAATTTCGCACAAAGCAAAAAAAGCGCCGGCCTATGCAACCCTTTTTTTGACGGCTTAGTTTTGGGGAATCATTTACCATCCTAGGTGTGGGGGCCCTTACATTTCTTGTGCGGGGGGGGGGGGGGGGGGGCGTCTTTTTGACCAAAA